AGTTTATGTATACTGTAGCGAAGTGTTGGAAACTTGCCGAAGGTGTGAGTGGTAGGTTTTTAAAGACTGTAATTCCTGAACACGCTTTATTCTGTTTAGACAAATTGAACCTTAAATTGGTAACACTTCTTGATTATTCGGTTATTAAATCTAAAAACTGTTTCACCACTTAATTGAAGTGAACATAAAATAATATATTAATTTAGTTACCTGTTTCACCAGATAACGTTTTGTTTAACAAAACGAACATTAATCCAGAGGATGATAACAAAATTTAAAGATCTAAAACGTTGCAAGCAACTGCTAAAGACAACAGGGAAATGGTGGCCGAGTATCACCAAAAAAAAACATTAAATTTCGCGGGGAATTATTAAGGCGGAAAATTTGAATTAAGACGTGTTACCAACTTTACACAATGATAATATCATATAATGAATAAAGTAGTACAAAAATAACCAAATCGCTTCAACTGCCCCCCAGCTTGCAAGTCGCAGTGAAAATTAAATTTTAATTCTGCCAGCCTTCAAGCTTTACAGGCCAAATAACACTGCCTTAAGGAAGCGGTTTTTCATAAGGTTTTAAATGAGAGCAGTGGAAACGTCCCCTCTCCACATCAGTATCGGGGTTAACCAAAACAAAGGAGGTAAGGCCAACGGTCTTTTTGATTTTGTACGGTCCTTCGAAGAGGAGCATAAATTTCTTGATCTCACTGCTCAAAACCGAGGATTTAGGTTCAGACTTCAGCAAAACCAGATATCCGACCTTAAAGTCAGCGTAAGAATTTTTAGAGCGGGGAAAGTTACGCCGAGCCGCTTTAGAAAGAAGCGATTCGCGTGCGAGAAAAACTTTGATATGGGAATCCAAAGCAATTGAGGGCTCAGGAAAAGATATCAAATCCCCTAACAACAAAGGAGGAGGTTTACCGGTGTGTAACTCCATTGGAGTACAATTAGTGGACTCATGGACCACGCTATTTAGCACGTCCATTATGTGATCCAACTCATAAGCCCATTTCTTATGTTTTGAAGAACAGAACGTTCTAAAAAGACGAGAATGTTCGCGCATGGCCTCAGGGTGCCGGACTGAAGATTTCATGACCTTGATACCCAGGGATTCAAGCTCAAGATTCCAGATGTGTGCTGTAAATTGGGTGCCGTGGTCAGTTAGTACTCGGTTAGGGACTCCATATTTTAAAAAATAATCATTTTTTAATTTGTTGAGTATGGTAAGGGAGGTGGCTTTCTTAAGCGGGTAGAGAGCTACTAGCTTAGAGAAAACATCGAGAACTACGCACAAATGGACTACTCCGCAACGGGAACGAGGAAGAGGTCCGTACAAATCCAAAGCAATAAGGTCTCGTGGAGCCTCAGGAATAATGCTTTGCATAGGGGGCTTAGGGAATTTGCTAGACTTGGACATTTGGCAAGTATGACAGGTCTTCAAGATGGCTTTTACTCTGGAGTGCATATTGGACCACCAAACCTCCCTTTTGAGAGCAGACCATGTTTTAAATACGCCAAAATGACCCAGTGCAACGTGGTAAGCGTTGACAAAATCTGGTATTCGAATCTCCGGTACACAAAGGAGGCAAGTATCATTATCCGCCTGTCTTAGAAAAAGAATTTCCTCATGCAACACGAAACGAGGGTTAGCGTGAGGGTCGTCTAGTAAACTTTGACGAATAGCCAATAGTTTAGCATCATTTCGTTGCTCTTCAACAATAAAAGACAGCGAATGAGCAAAAGAGATACCCAACCCTATATTACAAATCCTAAAACATTTATCCTCAGGTATGGGCAAACGTGGCAGGGGATAACGAGAGAGCATCACTTACGACATTTTCCTTACCAGAAATATATCTGACCTCATATGAGTACTCTTGGAGTGCAAGAGCCCAACGAGTAAGCCGAGGGGACAGAAATCGGCAACTCTGTAAATACACCAACGCTCGGTGATCAGTAAGGACATAAAAGGGTTTTCCCAGCAGAAAAACACGCCATTTTTCTAACGCCCACACTACAGAAAGAGCCTCCTTTTCGGCGACACAGTAAGACTTTTCCCTATCCAGTAATAATCGACTAGCATATGAAACCACATATTTTTGTCCATCTTTAAACTGGTAAAGTTGCGCACCTAGTCCCACTTCACTAGCATCGGTCTGCACCCAGAAGGACAGGTCATAATTTGGGTGATAAAGCAGGGTTTCCTCAGAAATAAGTTTTTTGAGGGCTTTAAAGGCAGAGTTCTGTTCTTCAGACCAGTCCCACTTAACCTTTTTCCTTAAAAGTCTGAAAAGTGGCTCGGCAAGCGTTGCAAAGTTCTCACAGAAAGTTCTGTCAAAATTGCATAGACCTAGAAAGGCTTGAAGCTGCTTCACGTCTTGAGGCTGAGGAAAATGGACTACTGACTGAATACGTTCGTCGTCTGGACTAATGCCCCGTTCATTTAGGACATAACCTAAAAAATTAAGTTCTTTCTTTAGAAACTGACATTTCTTAAATCTTAAGGTCATACCTGCTTCTTTCAGACGAGAAAAAACCCGGGACAGGTGTCTGATGTGATCGGTAAAAGTTTCCGAGACCACTAATAAATCGTCCACATAAGGAATTACAAAATCGGCAAAAGATGGTCCGAGAATTTTGTCTATGGCACGTGAGAAGGAGCTGATAGCAGTTTTCAGCCCAAATGGCAGAACCTTATATTTCCTATTAGACTTTCTTAATGGGATTTGCCAGTGGGAGAAAGTGAGATCTAAAGTACTCATGTACCGAACATTGGGCAAAGTTTTCAAAATGTCTTGAATTTGACGAGGGAGTTCAGAATCAGGCAACATAACTTGGTTCAAGCGCCTAGCATCAAGGACAACGCGAACTGTTCCATCCTTCTTGAGCACAGTAGAAAGAGGACTACTATAAGGGCTTGAAAACGTTCGTTCAATAATACCCAACTCTACCATGCAATCAATTTCTTTCTGCACCGCTTCTCTATGTGCTATGGGAATAGGATAAGGTCTACGGAAGAAAGGGGTATTATCATGAATATATTCTTGAGTCAAACCAGGCTTATCAGAAAATATTGGCTTATTTTTTGCAGTAACTCAAAAAAAAGGTTTTTTTCATTCTCCGGCAAAGGTAAATCTTGCACCACAGACTTGATTAAAGAATCCACTGATTCCACCTGACGAAATCTGTCCTCAATCTTGTGGTACTTATTGATGGCATAAATACTCTTCACCAGTTGGGTTTTGGGAGCTACAAAATCATGCAAGGTCTGAATCTCAGGTATTTCAATAATATTATGGTTAATTTTTACCTATACACACTTGTTTTCAAAATTTATACAGCCCCGAAAGGATCTAAGAAAATCACAACCTAAAATAACAGGAAACACCAAGTCGGGTATATACAAAAACTCATATTCAAACTCATTTCCAGCTAAATGGAATTTTAAAAGTGCTTGGTGAGTTTCGTTTTTTATTCTTAAATGCACCTGAAACTCTTACTCCTGTGATTGGGAAGAACGGCAAACTACCAGTAATTATCTGACTTCCCACAAGCTCAGAAAATGCACTACATTTGCTACCGGAGTCTATTAAACAAGGATATTGGACGTTGGTAATAGTTATTAAAACTATAGGCGTCCTAGAAGAACCTGGTTCGGGGTGCTTGTAGTTACACTCAACTAAAAGATCCTCTCTAGGATTATTTGGACAAAAACTACATACATTTTCAGTCCTAGATAAACTCTTCAACCCTGGACTATACGATTGAAGAGAGTCGATTAGTTTTCCGGATTTTCCTGCAAAGAATCCTCAAATTGGACGTGCGATATACCATAGATAACAAAGCGATATACGATTTGATTTGACAGCAGGTTGCCAACTTTTAAAACCGGAATTCTGTCTTACGGGTGAAAGTCGATCTGTAGTTCGATTGTCTCGCGCAGAAGAAGAAGACTTGGCGACAAAATCAAATACAAAATGTTCTGCCTGCCTTAAAATGATTAAGGCGTCGCTAATCGTACGACAAGTTCGCAATGAACTAAATAAATTTGATGGAAAATGGTGTGCGATTAACCCAACTAATTCAAATTCCGTATACAGCGGAGCTAAATTTTTAGTCCGGGTAACCTGACTCGCGTCTAGAGCATAGATAACAAAGCCTAGAGATCGAGGTCTCGGGATCGTGCAGGTTAGCCAACGTGATCAAATTTAGCAGGGAATTTAAAACTGTCTTTGAGACCATTTCCATATCTTGTTTTAAATGAAAATTTGTATTTGTAAAAGTAAAATATGTATTTAAAACATTAATGTAGTAATTACTATAATATAAATATTTTTAATTTTAACTTAAAAATCAAAGGTTTGTAAAAAAAATATCAAAAACACTAAAATAAAAGTATTCAACAGTTAAATATATATTTTTAATTGTATGTGTGCTACTAGAAATAATTTTTGATACTTTTTGTGGAAATGTCATTAGACAATAATTATTATTGAACTTTATTGTAATATACTCGCATTTAAATTTTAAAAGGTAGTATATGTTTATGTAGTTTTACAATGTTTTTTAGCAAATGCTGTAGGTGGCTTATAACGAATCTTCGTAAATCTGAAACCCTTTGTTCTAAACCGAAACTCGCATTTTATTTTTTACAAATTGATTGTAATTTTAACAAACCTACAACTTTGCATAACTATTGCAATTTTGTACAAAAAGCTATGCAAAAAGTAATTTCATATTTTTTTTTTCAATTTTTACCAAAGTTTAAGTAATCTAAAAGGGCTATTAAAAAAAGGTCTAATATTCACATTTTATATTCTACCATAAAAAAATAAAAACATTATATACTCTATAATATCACAGTATAAATCTGTGGCAGGAAGGCAAAACGTGATAACTCACTAATTAACAACTTTACAGGAGAGCAGTTTAAGATAAGATTTATAAATTAGGTATATTTACATTTTTTGTCTAATTTGTATTTAAATGCTTTGCATAATGGTAAAATAAAATATATATTGCAATACCACTAATTATTCTGTTTTGCCATTAAATTTAATTTATTAATTATGTTTACATGTATAAATAAAAGTTTGTGGTAACCCAAAAAAAAAATATTTTGGTTCATGTTAATACTAAAAATATCTCCGTCGCTAAAAGGTATTGAAATATACGGTTTTGCCAGTTAATATATTGAAAAGTTTACTTTTAATTGGAGTAAATAACTCAATTTCGAAAATAAGTAAGTTATCATGTTTTGCCTTCCTGCCACAGAAATCCTTCCAGTAGTTTCACTCTCCAAAATTACCAGGATCACATAAATTATATTGCGCATGTGGCCAGAGCAAATTAAACATTGTGCAGGATTGTTGCATAAAAAATACCCCTACATCCTCTAAGATCAAAGTGCCGCAACTAGAGTGAAACTACTGGAAGAATTTATACTGTGATAATATATAACATTATATACTCTATAATATATAACAGAGATTAGCTGTTTTTTGAGGGTGACGTTCACAATATCGATTTACATTTTATTAAAATCAAAATATAGAACACTTTATATCGAAAATAACAATATCAAAAATACGAAATGTCGAATAATTAAATAATATACAATCAAAATGTCGAAAATGTTAATATCGTAAATTAAAATGTCGATTTGAAAATGTCGAATAGATAAAATATCAAAATTTAAAATGTCTACTTAAAATATGATGATTAATTTAAATATCGAAACTACAAAATATCAAATTTAAAATAAGAAAATAAAGCTTAGTTCAACATTAATTGTACAAAATAAAAAAATAATAATTAATAACCCAATTAATAACTTAATTCGATATTGTGAACGTCACCCTATATATATATATATATATATATATATATATATATATATATATATATATATATATATATATTTATATATATATATATATATATATATATATATATATATATTTATATATATGTTGTTGCAATGTTGTCTTTTTGCGTTGCTGATAATTGTTCTTTTGTATTTTTCTCCCTTTTTTTGTTGTGGACCACAGTCTTCTCTGAACGGAAATTTTGGAATTACTTGCAGACCTTGGAATTTGGGGCAAATTTACATTTGAATCAATGGCATTTAATACTGGTGATATGGGGGCTATCAAACGTTCTACAGCATCCAATTTATTTGAGGTATCAGCTTTGGTTAATTGTCTTTCAAATATTTCCCTCAGTCGTCGTTTGCGATCTTCGATGGATTCAACTAACGATTTTTTCCCTATTTCTGACAGGACAGGACCATCTTCATCTTTGGTGTTATGAAGACTAACGTTATTGCCTAATAACATATGATTGATTTAGTAATTGCCCATGCTAGGTTATTTAAAAAAAACATGCATATTTATGTATATAAAAAAATGCAAATATAAAATTTAGCAAAATTAGAAACCAAGAGAGGACTTAATAAATTAAATACACCACACCGAGCTACACCATTCTAATTAACCATGTGAATCTAGTAAGGCTGGGAATTTTTTCAATTTTTATATTTAAATATGCATTCGTATTTATATTCAAATATTTAAGTCAAATATTTGAATAATTTGAATTATCCAAAAATTCAAATTATTTGAATTATTGAAATAATTTGAATATGGTCAAATAGCTGCCCATGAAAATAATTTGTATTTAAATATTCAAATATTTAAATTATTTGAATAATAATAATAATAATAATAATAATTAGAATCTAGTAAGATATGTGCATATAATATATATATATTTGATCTTATTACATAGGTCTCTTCTGTACTATGGTCCACATCCAAAGGTCCCACCATGTGATACAAATAATTAAGGTTATATATTATATTTAATTATTTTTAGAAAATATGAAGAAATTAGCTTGACACTGACAGAAAATTAACCTCAATTATGGCATGTACTACATGCAGTCAAGTACAAAACCACTTGTTTTGTATTTGATCATACCATCACTATAACTTGCTTAACATTCAGAAATGTAAAGTTGCTTACATTTTTTTATTTATTAGTTGTATTTAAAATGTGATGATTTCCTGGATGTATCCCCATCTTGATTCTGTTAAAAAAATACATTATATACCGTTTTTATTTCATATTGTAAGTCAAACATAAAAATGCAATACATACCAGCAATGTCCACTGTTGCATCAGTTGTCCTTTCTTTTCTGTACATGGCCACAAGGTGTATATGTTTACAGATATTAAATTTGATACAGGCATCCAAACATGTACAGGTATAGTTGTGAATGCATATTGCACACTCTGAACATATGAGCTTACAATTATCACAAGCCTTTGTTTCTTCTTGGACCAGGTAGATTTCATAACCAGACTGAGATGCAACTTCCCACCCATTTGAGGTTTCAATAACAAGATTTTTATTCATTGACTGCATTTTCCTATGCCGACTACGTATTTCATAAATTTTGTGCGACAATTTTCCTTTATGTATAACAATTAATCGATTTATGAGTTTGTTGCGGACAAATCTCATTATTGCGTGAATCGCCTTATCCAAACGCTTTACTTGTTTGCCTTTTAGGTAAATATATTTTATTGTACCATGCATCCGTTCAAGATTCATATTAGTGTTCAAACCAGTATTAAGCCTGTAGCAATAAGCCCAAAATTTTCGACTCTCAAAATAATATTGTTTGAAATACTGAATAAAGTCTGCTGTTTCGGCGTCAAATTCAGAGCAGAAATTGGTCACCATTACTTCAAATGCTGAAATGTCACGTTCCTCCAATATAGTCCTTAGTTTATTGTATATTTCTCTCTGCAAAAATTACCAAATATTACATGTTGTTCTTTATTTTTAAATCATTATATCAACCTGCTTTTCTTTTGACTTAATTTTTGTCAAATTTTTTTTCCAGGCTCTTGTAACATGCCAGGTGCAAAAGAGACTAAAAACAAATATGTTTAAAAAATATACATACAATTCTAAATTATTACCGCTTATGTGGTTCTCCCATCACTTCTGTCCAAGCATTGTAATATGTGTTAACTATATCAGTCATAAAAATATTTGTTGTTATAATTCCAGTCCTCAACTTGACTTCAGTAAAAAATAATTCATATGTTTGTGTGTCTGCTCTGTTACTAATTAAAAAAGAACATGGAAACCCCTCCCGTATATCATCAAGTACTAAAATTGTGTGCATTTCAAAATTGTATGCATTCCATGGGTCCCGTCCAAACAAATACAGTCTGTACCAAACTTGGTTAAAAATTCTCTTTGTGCTTCAGTCATAATTATGAGTACAAAGTCATCATCTTTTAAAAATTTATATTTGGTACAATTGATTCCTTGTGGTTTATAAAACAAAACACAATCTCCTTCTTTTTGCATCTCCACTACCCATGCCTCCACACTAATAGCATAATTTTTATGTCTAACAGCTGATGAGGACAAATTAAAACAACTCTCAATATTATGGAGATCTTTTCGTGTTAGAAGATGTTTTCTTTTCAAGTCAGCTGCAGGTATTGATTCAGCAACTTCATCTAATATTACGTCAAAAGGAACTTTAGAAGCAATTTTTTGAGCCAATTCTTTGCGTTGAATTTCACTCAGTGTAAGATGACCTAAGTCATTTAGATGTCCAACATGTGTTTTTACAAATGTCACTGAATATGTGTTATCTTCTTTTTTTCTAAGTGTCATTTTTGCAGGACAAAATCCGTTTATTTTGTTACTTCCTTGAATTTTTAATTGTCTTAGTTTATTTCCTTTAGGGACAAATTTTCCAGACCGGTGACAGCTGTAATAAGAAATCTTAGATGTTCGAGTTGATTTGATGAATTTTGAATTAGAGTTTTCTTCAACTTGATGCTTCCAGTTGGTAAATTCTTCCAATGTGGAGAACTCCAATTCTTCAGTTAACATTGAAATCTGATGCATTTCTATAAAATGCTTATGTAAGTCTTGACTTGTTTGGGACTAATATTCGCACATAGGACATTTCTTGTTAATAATACACCTTGTGTTACTTGCACTGGCATTTTCAGTCAAAGGAGCATGAGACTTCAGATGGAAGTTAAGATGTTTTTTATGAACGAAATTTTTAGGACATATATGGCACATAAAACTGGACGTTTGCGGCTTCAGAGATCTCGATCTTATTTTCATCGGTTGCCGGTAAGAAGGTTAATGGAATTTCTTAATGTGTTTTTTTAAGTTGGACTTCGTCACAAAACTTCTCTCGCAATTGGAACATTGATAGCAATTACTGTTTTCAATTTCCATTTTCACTTGCTGTCTGCCTTATTTTAACACTTACTTAAACACGAAACCCAGAAAATGCAGTTTTATTCACGAAAAATTATTAACCAAGTTAACGTCGTTGACTGTCAAGTTGAAACAGATGACAGTGGCGCGCTAGAATGCACCTCACTTCACTCCGGTCTTGAAACCTCGATTAAAAATATTGATCACGTTGGCTAACCTGCACGATCCCGAGACCTCGATCTCTAGACGCGAGTGGGTAACCTGTCCCAAAAAATAATTTACATAACCTGAATTGTCATATTTACCCTTATATGAGTACATTAGATGCAAAACTCGGTTTTTGCACATTTTTAAAAAATATATATTTTATCTTATTTATGTTCATAACTGCACTGCCCACAGCATACCTAAGTAAACCAGATGCATAAGTTAATATTTGTAGAATAAAATACATTTATAAACTTACCGCAGCTGCAAAACTGGGTATTTGTTTCTTCCTGTCGGATGCAAAACTCGGTATTTGACCAATCACCATAGTATACGCATTAACTGACGGCATAACAATCACCTGAATAATTGTTATTTTTTTGGTATTTGCACTTTTCACTTGCAAAACTTGGTATTTGAACGAGGAAGATGCAAAACTATGTTTTTAAATCTTTTGATTTCAATTATTTACTAAACTACTTAATTTTAAAGGACTTTTTTTACTTTTTTAAATAAGAAATGATGC